GTTATACAATTGAAAAATAAAAGAACTGTTGTTAAATTTGACTGTGTCAATATAACCATCACTCATTCCTGCAACAGTTTGTAAAAAGTAATCTGAGACTGGGTAATGTTGTGTAAAAATTAACTGGTTCAATGAAGACTGGGGTAAAAAAGAAAATTTGCAACCACATGACCCCTCCCATGTTTGAGTTGTTGTAAACATGTGCCGAAAAAAGCAAATTTATTGATTTGCAAAAATCAGCTGTGTAAAATACACATCAGCAGTTGTGTATTAAGTTTTCGATCAAAATATATTTTTTTAAAATAAAACCATGTAGATGTATTCTTTGAGTGCTGACTTAGCGCGAGTAGAGTTCATTTTTGGGATATAACATCGCTAACTTAAGATATAAGATGAAAAAACCAACTGAGATGTCTGGTTTCTTTTTCTCCTCAGTTTAGTTGCGGCACAGAAAAATCGAAGAAGAAAGTTACATTTATGTTCATATCAACGAAATTTAGACTTTGTTCAATGTTTGAATGTTTTTCCATCTCTAAACAGACTTCGATGTGTCAAAAAGGCTGATTGTTTAGGTTTTCATTGAGCCTTTTTCAATATTTGACAATGACCCAAACGGATTGTCTTGATCTGTGGCGGTGCCACCGTCGGGCCAGGATAGGCCCACCATCTCGCGAACACCTGGTATCATCACTGTTTTAACGTGATTCATAAACACATGCTTTGAATGGTACAGTGGACTATTTTATGCAAAGGGTTCTTTTGATTATGGAAAGGGTTTTATCGCTTTTATTTTGGACACGTCAGATGGGCCACGGTAAATGTCACTGCCATTGTAACGAGAGTAGAACTTTTCACTCATTTTATCAATACGTTTGAAGTCTAAAATTTGAAGCGTAAGAAAGAAAACCTTATCACAGTGAACAGGTCTGATAATTTTCATTCCAATATTTCAAAGGTTTCCGTCACAATATAATTTGACAGTTTCAGTGGCCAAAGGACACTTATCACATCTCGCCTTTTCGACCAGGAAGAGCTACAACTCTCCAATCTGATCGTTCGTTTCCGTGTAAATTATTAAATGAAAATCGAGAATAAGCTGGTTTAAAAGGTCTCCCCTTTCGAAAAGTGAATAAAGTCCAGAAGTGCTGACCCAGACACCCCGTACAGTAAATGCACCGTGTCGGTAACGACAGACAACGTTTCTGCAAGAGGTGCACGGAGTTCTTAAACGTCGGCAATTTCCCATCCAAGCATATCGAGTCAAGTGCAGAAGATCTTGTCATAACGCGATAAATCTAAAAGTGCTGTCAATTCTAATCCCTTTTCTGACCAGCTCGTCAAATTTAGCATCAGCAAATTGTTGTTTTTGATCTCAGGAGTAATTTGAAATCGACACTACTTTCACTCGCTCCCTCCGGACCGGAGAGCTCCTATCAGATGTGCGCGCATCCGAGCCCAGAAATCGCACATCCGGAACAAATTCACTGAAATAGGAATCCAGCATTTGGCCTGCTGAGTTTTAAGATCAGTTTTCAGTTTGCGCTTGTTTTATGAAATATTGGAGTACTTCTCTGGAATTATTAAAGGCAGTTTGGTAGAATCTTTTAGCTTCCCACTGTGAGCTGGCACAGCTACTGACCCAACCGCTTAAAACACTCGGCAACCTGAACTTGTTGTCATAAGAGTTTCGCGTCATTAATTCAAATCCGGCGAAATTTAGTTCTGACTCCATGCACTGTCGTTAAATCTCCAAACCTCCATATTTTAGGTGCAGTGTTTGAGACACTTGATCATGCGGCTTTTTAGTGTTTGTTTGTCTGTTTGTTTGTTCTTTAACGCCGCACTCAGCAATATTCCAGCTATATGTCCGAATATAAACGTGTCTAGACTAGACAATCCAGTGATTGACATCATGAGCAACAATCTACGTAATTGGGATACGATGACACGCATCAACCAAATCAGCGAGCCTGAACACCCGACCCGTTAGTCGCCTCTTACAAGCATGGGTTGCTGAAGACCAAATCTAACACAGTACTGGTAGTAATAAGTGCGTAAGCGGGGTTGAGCATATTTCAGTTATGTGACGGTGTGTTAGATGGGTGTATGAGTCTGGCGTGATGCAGGACCCGAACGCGTCACAGGGCCCTCCCTCCTGCTCCAAGTAGCAGTGAAGGTGGCGGTAGCAGAGGTATTGGTTGGTAGTAGTAGTTAGGATTGGATTTAACGCCGCATTCAGCAATATTCCAGGCTATGTCGGCGAAATGTAAATAATGGAGTCCAAGCAGTCCAAGCAGCAGCAGCAGTAGTAGTAGTAGTAGCAGTGGTTGTAGTAGCAATAGTAGAAGAAGTAGTAGTAGTAGCAGTGGTTGTAGTAGCAGTAGTAGTAGAAGTAGTAGTAGTAGCAGTGGTTGTATAAGCATTAGTAGTACAAGTAGTGATAGAAGTAGTAGTAGTAGAAGTAGTAGAAGTAATAGTAGTAGCAGTAGTAGTAGAAGTAGTAGTAGTAGAAGTAGTAGTAGTAGTAGTAGCAGTAGTAGTAGCAGTAGTAGTAGTAGTAGTAGTAGTAGTAGTAGTAGTAGTAGAAATAGTAGTATTTGTAGTAGTATTTGTAGTAGTAGTAGCAGTGGTATTAGTAGCAGTGGTAGTAGTAGCAGTAGTAGTAGAAGTAGTAGTAGTAGAAGTAGTAGTAGAAGCAGTAGTAGTAGAAGTAGTAGTAGTAGAAGTAGTTGTAGTAGTAGTAGCAGTTGTAGTAGAAGTGTGTGTGTGTGTGTGTGTGTGTGTGTGTGTGTGTGTGTGTGTGTGTGTGTGTGTGTGTGTGTGTGTGTGTGTGTGTGTGTGTGTGTGTGTGTACTAGTCCGGACTGATGCCGATTTATAGTGCTAGCTCACTGAGATACCAAGCGCAGTTTGAATATGAATATCCCACTCATACACAGTACACATTAGTAGCAGTAGTAGGGACATATTAGTAGCAGCAGTAGGGACACATTAGTAGCAGCAGTAGGGACACATTAGTAGCAGCAGTAGGGACTCATAAGTAGCAGCAGTAGGGACACATTAGTAGCAGCAGTAGGGACACATTAGTAGCAGCAGTAGGGACACATTAGTAGCAGCAGTAGGGACACATTAGTAGCAGCAGTAGGGACACATTAGTAGCAGCAGTAGGGACACATTAGTAGCAGCAGTAGGGACACATTAGTAGCAGCAGTAGGGACATATTAGTAGCAGCAGTAGGGACACATTAGTAGCAGCAGTAGGGACACATTAGTAGCAGCAGTAGGGACACATTAGTAGCAGCAGTAGGGACACGTTAGTAGCAGCAGTAGGGACACATTAGTAGCAGCAGTAGGGACACATTAGTAGCAGCAGTAGGGACATATTAGTAGCAGCAGTAGGGACTCATAAGTAGCAGCAGTAGGGACACATTAGTAGCAGCAGTAGGGACACATTAGTAGCAGCAGTAGGGACACATTAGTAGCAGCAGTAGGGACACATTAGTAGCAGCAGTAGGGACTCATAAGTAGCAGCAGTAGGGACACATTAGAAGCAGCAGTAGGGACACATTAGTAGCAGCAGTAGGGACACATTAGTAGCAGCAGTAGGGACACATTAGTAGCAGCAGTAGGGACACATTAGTAGCAGCAGTAGGGACACATTAGTAGCAGCAGTAGGGACACATTAGTAGCAGCAGTAGGGACACATTAGGAGCAGCAGAAGGGACATATTAGTAGCAGCAGTAGGGACACATTAGTAGCAGCAGTAGGGACACATTAGTAGCAGCAGTAGGGACACATTAGTAGCAGCAGTAGGGACACATTAGTAGCAGCAGTAGGGACTCATAAGTAGCAGTAGTAGGGACATATTAGTAGCAGCAGTAGGGACACATTAGTAGCAGCAGTAGGGACACATTAGTAGCAGCAGTAGGGACACATTAGTAGCAGCAGTAGGGACTCATAAGTAGCAGCAGTAGGGACACATTAGAAGCAGCAGTAGGGACACATTAGGAGCAGCAGTAGGGACACATTAGTAGCAGCAGTAGGGACACATTAGTAGCAGCAGTAGGGACACATTAGTAGCAGCAGTAGGGACACATTAGTAGCAGCAGTAGGGACTCATAAGTAGCAGCAGTAGGGACATATTAGTAGCAGCAGTAGGGACACATTAGTAGCAGCAGTAGGGACACATTAGTAGCAGCAGTAGGGACACATTAGTAGCAGCAGTAGGGACTCATAAGTAGCAGCAGTAGGGACACATTAGAAGCAGCAGTAGGGACACATTAGGAGCAGCAGTAGGGACACATTAGTAGCAGCAGTAGGGACACATTAGTAGCAGCAGTAGGGACACATTAGTAGCAGCAGTAGGGACACATTAGTAGCAGCAGTAGGGACACATTAGTAGCAGCAGTAGGGACACATTAGGAGCAGCAGAAGGGACATATTAGTAGCAGCAGTAGGGACACATTAGCAGCAGCAGAAGGGACACATTAGGAGCAGCAGTAGGGACACATTAGTAGCAGCAGTAGGGACACATTAGTAGCAGCAGTAGGGACACATTAGTAGCAGCAGTAGGGACATAGCCTTATCAACATTAGTGGTAGCAGCAGCGTCAACATAGGTAGCCTTTTCAACACTAGTACTAGCGGCAGCAGTGTCAACATCGGTAGCCTTTTCAACACTAGTACTAGCGGCAGCAGCGTCAACATAGGTAGCCTTTTCAACACTAGTACTAGCGGCAGCAGTGTCAACATAGGTAGCCTTTTCAACATTAGTAGCAGCAGCAGTAGTGTCAAGATCGGTAGCCTTATCAACATTAGTAGTAGCAGCAGCAGCGTTAACATCGGTAGCCTTTTCAACACTAGTGCTAGCGGCAGCAGTGTCAACATCGGTAGCCTTTTCAACATTAGTAGTAGCAGCAGTAGTGTCAAGATCGGTAGCCTGATCAACATTAGTAGTAGCAGCAGCAGTGTCAACATCGGTAGCCTTATTAACATATTAGTACTAGCGGCAGCAGTGTCAACATCGATAGCCTTTTCAACATTAGCACTAGCAGCAGCAGTGTCAACATCGGTAGCCTTATCAACACTAGTAGTAGCGGCAGCAGTGTCAACATCGGTAGCCTTATCAACATTAGTACTAGCAGCAGCAGTGTCAACATCGGTAGCCTTTTCAACATTAGTAGCAGCAGCAGTGTCAACATAGGTAGCCTTTTCAACATTAGAACTAGCAGCAGCAGTGTCAACATCGATAGCCTTATCAACATTAGTATTAGCAGCAGCAGTGTCAACATCGGTAGCCTTTTCAACATTAGTAGTAGCAGCAGCAGTGTCAACATCGGTAGCCTTTTCAACACTAGTACTAGCGGCAGCAGTGTCAACATCGGTAGCCTTATCAACATTAGTAGTAGCAGCAGCAGTGTCAACATAGGTAGCCTTTTCAACATTAGCAGCAGCAGCGTCAACATCGGTAGCCTTATCAACATTAGTAGCAGCAGCAGCAGTGTCAACATCGGTAGCCTTTTCAACATTAGTAGCAGCAGCAGTGTCAACATCGGTAGCCTTTTCAACATTGGCACTAGCAGCAGCAGCAGTGTCAACATCGGTAGCCTTTTCAACATTAGTAGCAGCAGCAGTGTCAACATCGGTAGCCTTTTCAACATTAGCACTAGCAGCAGCAGTGTCAACATCGGTAGCCTTATCAACACTAGTAGTAGCGGCAGCAGTGTCAACATAGGTAGCCTTATCAACATTAGTACTAGCAGCAGCAGTGTCAACATAGGTAGCCTTATCAACACTAGTAGTAACAGCAGCAGTGTCAACATCGGTAGCCTTATCAACAGTAGTACTAGCGGCAGCAGTGTCAACATCGGTAGCCTTATCAACACTAGTAGTAGCGGCAGCAGTGTCAACATCGGTAGCCTTTTCAACATTAGTACTAGCAGCAGCAGTGTCAACATAGGTAGCCTTATCAACACTAGTAGTAGCAGCAGCAGTGTCAACATCGGTAGCCTTATCAACACTAGTAGTAACAGCAGCAGTGTCAACATCGGTAGCCTTTTCAACATTAGTACTAGCAGCAGCAGTGTCAACATCGGTAGCCTTATCAACACTAGTAGTAACAGCAGCAGTGTCAACATCGGTAGCCTTATCAACACTAGTAGTAACAGCAGCAGTGTCAACATCGGTAGCCTTATCAACAGTAGTACTAGCAGCAGCAGTTGCAATACCGGTAATCAAAGCAAACGCAACGATGATGTAGCATTTGTTGCAATTTCAAATGAAATATTTGTACAAATATATGTATCCCAAGCGATCTGCGTGCATAGCTCACTTTTATTTAAATAAATACTCACAACCTCTGAAATATGTAAGTTAATTGTTTCAACCGAAAAACCCCAAGCATCTGATTCTAGAAGAACGGGGACATAAAAACACCATTCCTTTCTTCGGTGGGGCAAATGAACAATAGACTCGCAGCGCCCCCTCACGGCAACTAATCCAGGTCCCAATAATGGACATTTGATTTGTGCTGATTAGGAAACGAAAAGATAGAGAGTCAAGCCTAATGCTCACACGAATCTGTTTGTTAGTTTACGTGATTTGTGCAGCGCCAGTCCAATTGGCGGGAAAACGTCCGTTGCGGCGATTGTTTTCTCAACCCGTCGTCAGCTTCGCATGTGACCTTTGCAAGTCGCGCCACACAATGCAGTAACCATTTAAGTAATTAGCATGTGAACACGTGTCCCCAGCCATAAGGAGCGAGCCAGTAGACCTCACGCTTTAAGGGCCATTATCTTATTAGAAAAGCCATTTTACGCTAAGTTGCTTCACTCTGTCTACTAAACGCCGAGATAAAGTATTTCAATCGGAGTACTTTGCAACTCCGTCTTTGAACTAAACCTATTAGTATCCATGTCCGGGGCACATCGTCGGATAAACCTCTTTGTCTCATATCAGTGTTCAGATATAACCATCATTGACTGCCTACAGGCTAATTAATTTTTTTCGATATTTATTTCAGTGGGACAATTTTTTTCCGGTTTTAATTTGTTGCTGTAAGACAGAGTTACTTGTACGTTGTGCGCAGTTTTCCGGTTGAAGAGTGCTCGGCGCATGCTTGCCGCATCTCTTGGATTTGTTTCCCAGTGTGTCACGTGACTTGCACGAGCCAAGAACTCGGGTAGTTTTCCAATAAATCAAACCCCGTGCTTATTGATAATAACGGTTATTTAGCTGGTAGCGCGTCTGAGCCTCGCGGATGAATATCCCCCCCTCTCCTCTTTTCAACGAACGCTACATCCTCCCCATAGTATAAATCCCCCATAATTTGAGCTCAGAATTTGAGTCCGGCGTACTATCACCCTAAAACCTTTTTATAAACCAAGGGAGCATCGGTGTATAATTTAGTCTTGCATTTTGCTGCCGCTGTAGGCAAGTCTTGCTTTGTTCCTACCCGACTTGTTTCCCATATGCTGTGGACGTCGCCTTGCGTACATTGTCATCATGTGATCGAGGTGCATTATGGGGCTTTAGATGAAGCCGACGAAAACTGTTTGAGGTTTGACAGAGCAACAGCTGAGACGGATACAAGCAAAAAACATATATTGATTTGGTTTCAAGTAAAAGTCATCGCTTTTAACATACCAGGGTGGCCCAGTCGCCTAAAGTGCCGTATTCCCCTGTTGCGTACCCTCCTGTGTTCGAATTCTAGATTCTCCCTGATTGTGTATCCAGGTTTGTCAGCACCATACCCCGTCTCGTGGGTTTCTCCGTAGTAGTAAACGTCTAAGACCTGCATCACCATGGACCTGCCTCCCACATGAAGCTGATGAAATCGGCCTTAAGGGCCACTCACTCACGCAATTGCACACATAAATTTGGTTTTACACGCGACACGGCTGTTGATTACTCTACGAGGAATTTATAACCGAGACACATCTAATGACAACCTTCACATCAGAATGGTATTGTCGTAGCGGAAACAGTGTTTGACATGACACGGTGGAACCATGGTATTGTCATGGCAGAAACAGTGTTCGACATGACATGGTGGACGCACGGTATTGTCATTGTAGAAACTGTGTTCGACATGACATGGTGGAACCATGGTATTGTCATGGCAGAAACAGTGTTCGACATGACATGGTGGACGCACGGTATTGTCATTGTAGAAACTGTGTTCGACATGACATGGTGGAACCATGGTGTTGTTGCCGAAAGAGTGTTCGACGTGACACGATGGAAGCACGTTATTGTCGTTGCTGAAACAGTGTTCGACGGGACACGGTGGAACCATGGTATTGTCATGGCAGAAACAGTGCTCGACATGACATGGTGGAACCATGGCATTGTCATTGCAGAAACAGTGTTCGACATGAAATGGTGGAACCATGGCATTGCCATGGCAGAAACAGTGTTCGACATGACATGGTGGAACCATGGTATTGTCATGGCAGAAACAGTGTTCGACATGGCACGGTGGAACCATGGCATTGTCATGGCAGAAACAGTGTTCGACAAGACACGGTGGAAGCACGGCATTGTCATGGCAGAAACAGTGTTCGACATGACATGGTGGAACCATGGTATTGTCATGGCAGAAACAGTGCTCGACATGACATGGTGGAACCATAGTATTGTCATGGCAGAAACAGTGTTTGACATGACAAGGTGGAAGCATGTTATTGTCCTGGCAGAAACAGTGTTCGGCATGACATGGTGGAAGCATGGTATTGTCATGGCAGAAACAGTGTTCGACATGACACGGTGGAACCATGGTATTGTCATGGCAGAAACAGTGTTCGACATGACATGGTGGAAGCATGGTATTGTCGTGGCAGAAACAGTGTTCGACATGACATGGTGTAACCATGGCATTGTCATGGCAGAAACAGTGTTCGATATGACATTGTGGAAGCACGGTATTGTCATGGCAGAAACAGTGTTTGACATGACACGGTGGAACCATGGCATTGTCATGGCAGAAACAGTGTTCGACATGACATGGTGGAAGCATGGTATCGTCATGGCAAAAACAGTGCTCGACATGACACGGTGGAAGAATGGTATTGTCATAACAGAAACCGTGCTCTACATGACACGGTGGCAGCATGGTATTGTCATGGCAGAAACAGTGTTCGACATGACACAGTGGAAGCACGTTATTATCATGGCGGAAACAGTGTTCGACATGACACGGTGGAAACATGGTATTGTCCTTGCGGAAACAGTGTTCGACATGACACGGTGGAAGCATGGTATTGTCCTTGCGGAAACAGTGTTCGACATGACACGGTGGAAGCAAGGTATTGTCATTGCCGAAACAGTGTTCGACATGACACGTTGGAAGCATGGTATTGTCATTGCAGAAACAGTGTTCCACATTACACGGTGGAAGCATGGTATTGTTATGACAGAAACAGTGTTCGACATGACACGGCGGAAGCATGTTATTGTCATAGCAAAAACAGTGCTCTACATGACAAGGTGGCAGTATGGTATTGTCATGGCAGAAACAGTGTTTGACATGACACGGTGGAAGCACGGTATTGTCATAGCAGAAACAGTGCTCTACATGACACGGTGGCAGCATGGTATTGTCATGGCAGAAACAGTGTTTGACATGACACGGATGAAGCACGTTATTATCACGGCGGAAACACTGTTCGACATGACACGGTTGAAGCACGTTATTGTCCTTGCGGAAACAGTGTTCGACATGACACGGTGGCAGCATGGTATTGTCATGGCAGAAACACTGTTCGACATGACACGGTTGAAGCACGTTATTGTCCTTGCGGAAACAGTGTTCGACATGACACGGTGGAAGCATGGTATTGTCATGGCAGAAAGAGTGTTCGACATGACACGGTGGAAGCATGGTATTGTCCTGGCGGAAACAGTGTTTGACATGACACGGTTGAAGCACGTTATTGTCCTTGCGGAAACAGTGTTCGACATGACACGGTGGAAGCATGGTATTGTCATGGCGGAAACAGTGTTCGACGTGACACGTCTGAAGCATGGTGTTGTTGCCGAAAGAGTGTTCGACGTGACACGATGGAAGCACGTTATTGTCGTTGCTGAAACAGTGTTCGACGTGACACGGTGGCAGCATGTTATTGTCCTGGCGGAAACAGTGTTTGACATGACACGGTTGAAGCACGGTATTGTCATAGCAGAAACAGTGCTCTACATGACACGGTGGCAGCATGGTATTGTCATGGCAGAAACAGTGTTTGACATGACACGGTGGAAGCACGTTATTATCACGGCGGAAACACTGTTCGACATGACACGGTTGAAGCACGTTATTGTCCTTGCGGAAACAGTGTTCGACATGACACGGTGGAAGCAAGGTATTGTCATGGCGGAAACAGTGTTCGACGTGACACGTCTGAAGCATGGTGTTGTTGCCGAAAGAGTGTTCGACGTGACACGATGGAAGCACGTTATTGTCGTTGCTGAAACAGTGTTTGACGTGACACGATGGAAGCACGTTATTGTCATGGCCGTTTCGAAACAGTGTTCACCATGGTATTGTTGTGGCGGAAGCAGTTTGACGACATGAAACAGCATGGGGATCGCGTCCGTTCGGCCTAAAGTGGCCAAGTGTATTAAATATGATATACATCACACAAATAATGTAATAATCGTTTAAATGATCAAATATTTATTTTTTTTAAACCAAAAAACACTACTGTGATCTTTATATGGTAAATCGGTATGATAAAACCTGAATAGAGGCCTCCATAAATCCGCGGTAAGATTGATTTATACTTTGACCATTTGACTATGAAAACCAAGGTGGGAACCTAATGAGCTCATATTTCCTCAAACGCAGCAATCACGCTGGAATAGGTAAATAAGAGGCAAGATTAACCCAAAATGGGCAAACCGTGAAGCTATAATTTGAACCAAAGTTCAAGGTCAAGGTCAAACGCGCCCCCGGAAACACCTTGAACAGGTGCTCCCCTAACGAAGTCGGTAATGGCCGGGTTATACGTACATATGATTGCGGGCTGCCTGAACAATCTTGATGTATCGCTGACCACAATAAAACCTCTGTACACACGTACAAATTATTGCCAGAGCCTGTGGTCAATTCGTCCCGAGGTTATATACAACCCGTATGCTTAATAAGGTGTAAGGATATAGGTCTGGATATTGTTTGCGGGGCCACTATATGGAGAGGCTGAGATAGGGTGTCACTGCGGCTGTGCCTTGTCATAAGTGGTGGAATGCTGTGTTTTATGATGTGTTGTAAGTACTGGATTAGTGACGGCGCCTTGTTACGGGTGGGAGGTGAGCGTTAACGTCAGTGTGGGTTGAGGACTGGTGATTTGGGGTAGGTATTTTTGTTAAAGATGTGATGTTAGGGTTTTCTGCCTAAATACATGTCACAATTAATTGGGAAACTGCACTAATTTTAAATATGGGTTATTAACATTGACGGTAATTATGAAAACTGGTTAACGAGGTTTGGCCTGCTGCTCCCAGGAATCGTGAGTCAAATAATTCAAAACCAACTTGGTTGCCTACCAGCTACAATTTTAGGATGTGTGTGATTCACATCATGTCGAGTTCTCACCCGTACCTTCAAGTGTACAATACAATGTATATAATGCTGACTACTTCAGCAACTGATAGTGTGTTGTTAACATAACACAAAAAACGTAAATAACATTGTTATCAATTCCGTATTTATAGCTGATGATAATCTTACTAATTTGTACATATTAACATGATTACAGGAATTCTCTGGCTGATATCTCTTCTTCATTTCGTTGGGCACAAATACAAAATGCTATCCATACTCTACTCTCTATTTACACTTTGTGCTTAATTTGAAAGGAATATAAATTGTCCATCATTTACCTTCATGATGCTTTAACCTATGAAGACCACACCTGAATTCTATTAGTATATTACGGAAATGTTTGCGAAGGAATCAGTTTCACACTAATTCGTGGACAGTCATGGACTGTCATCTGACTGAGACTGAGCCCGCCTTTAAGAGAAGATCCAGAAGAACATGTTATTTAGGTTTGTTTGTTTGTTTGTTGTTTAACGCCACACTCAGCAATATTCCAGCTATATGACGGCGGTCTGAAAATAATCGAGTCT